AGCAAAACTCAGCCCAAAGCGCTGCCGTGCTCACCTTGCTGAGCTTGGTTTTGGTGCTCTCCAGCTCCCAGGAGTAGCTGGAGGGGGCGCGGGGGTCCCAGGAGGCCTCGGCGCAGGGGAACAGGACCTCGCCCACGAAGGAATCCTGGAGGCTCCGTGACCTGGCGTAGACAGCAAAGCGCAGGGTGCAGCTGCCCAGCTCCTCCGGGCCGTACGGGCCGAACCGGCACGGCCGCGGCTCCCGGCGGGCGGGGCGGAGGCTCCGGCGGCGCACGGACACGCGGCGGGACAGCGGCGGCCGCGGCACCAGGGCCACCTTGACCCGGGAGCCCTGGTGGCCCTGGGGCAGGTGCGAGACGCCGAGGATGGTGACAGTGAGGGTGGCCTCGGGCACGGAGTAGCGCAGGTCGCAGCGCAGCCGGGGACGCTGCCCGGAGCGCGGGAGCGACCCCGGCACGGCGGGGACCAGCGGGCTCCGCTCCTCGCAGAGGAGTTCGGTGCCGGCGATGGTGCAGCGGCGCTGGCACAGCCCCGGCAGCTGCGGGAGGAAGGGGAGGCTGGGCAGAGACGCTCTGCCGTGCGCCGAGTCCCCGCGGGGTGCCGGGGACATCTCCTCGGCCCGGGCACCCGTCTGCTCCTCGCCGTGCCGCTGGATCGGCACCGGCACCGTGGCCGCGGGCAGAGCCGCCCCCAGCTCCACTCGCTGCCGGCCGAGGGGGCGGCCCGGGCGCCGGCGGTGCCACCAGCACATGGCACAACCCAGGAGGACGCCGAGGCAGAGGAGGGACAGCCCCGCGCCGAGGGACACCTGCAGGTGCGCTGGAGGGAGAGATGGGCACCGTCAGCGGGATGTCGGCAGGGCTGTGCCAGCCCGGCTCTCCCTGGGTGCCCTCCCTTCCCCCGGGGCTCCCTCCCCGCTCTGTGTGAGCCAGGATTGAGCTGGAACATCCCAAAGGCAGCAGGAGGGACAGGAGCCGCGCTCGGGCAGCCTGACACGGGGCCGGCGCTAAAACAAGCGCAGCGATAAGGGCCGTGCAAAGCGCGCACTTATCAGCGCCGCTGCCAGGCTGACCCAGCTCGGGCACGATCCGCCGCCCTTGGTGGGGCTCCGAGGGTGTGCAGGGGAAGGGGGGCACTGCGGGGGGAGATTTGGGGTGTCCGGGCTGGATTCAAAGCGGCCCCTGAGGGCTGAGCCAAGCCAAGCCCGGTCCCAAAAGAGGGGAACATCCTCCCTGAGCTGGATTTTGTCTGGGATGCCCGCAGGGCTTCGGGATGATGCCCTGGGAAGAGGGCATCCCTGCGCACTGGGCATTTAGGGAGCAGGGAATCAACTCCTGGACATCAGCGCTGAAGCTCCTTTGGAATTTAGTTCCTGGGTTTCAGAGGTGGCACCTGTGTGGCTGTGCCGGCAGAAAACCTCCCTGTGCCCAGAGCTGGCTTGGCTTCCAGCACTGGAGCGAGGGATTAAGGGGAACAGGGCCGGGACGAGGCTGTGCCAGAGCCTGCGCCGGGTGCCATGAAGGGATGGGGATGTTGGAAGGAGAAAAGCAGGCATTGTCTCACCCCGGGGGGCCGGGCCTCCCTGCCCAGGTGCCTTAATCCGCTCTGGGCTCTCCCCAGCCCTTTGTTGTTTGTTCGGGAGCCGGGTCGTGCCTGGGATGAGCTGAATGGCGGCATTTAGGGAGGGATGGAGGGGAGTGGAAATGGCCGGGAATTCCCCTCGAGGGATTCTCTTCCAGCCCAAACTGCGCCAGCCCCGGGAGAGCGAGCTGGGAGGGCCGGAGCGTGTCCAGCCCGGGCGCACGGACACGCGGGGACCTGCAGGGCTGCGGGGTGGGAATGGGAATGGGAATAGGAATGGGAATGGGGACCTCTGGGATGGCCGCTTCGGGGTGCGGGGCTGGAAGACCCAGCCCAGCTCCAGGGGGCAGGGGCTGCAGGGCTTGGGGGGAGCAGGAGGAGATCCCAAACCCCGCAGGGACCGCACCTTACCTGCTCCGGGCATCGCAGGGGACCGGAGAGTCCTTGAGCCGCCCCGGCCGCGCTCTCGGCGGGGCTGGGAGGGATGGGCAGGACGGGAGGGGAGGAGGGGGCAGAGGCTGGGATAGGCTGGGAGCGGAGCCCGGCTGCTCTCCCCGCCTGGGGAAGCTCAGGGGCAGCCGGGGAAGAAAGGGCAGAGTTCCATGGGGGGAGGATGAGCGAGGTCGAGGGCTCCATCCCCTCCCCGGCAGCCGGCCAAGGCAAACGCGGGCACGGGGCACGGGCACGGCTGGGACGGGAGGGAGCGGGAAGGGCTCCCCCGGCTCTGCCCGACTGGAAAAACAGCAAACACCAAGGCGCGGGGAGCCATGCAGGGAGAGCTGCTCGTGGGGAGCAGGTGGTGACAGAGGAGGGATAAAGGACAGGGGTGGGGACAGCTCCGGCGACAGCCGCCACAGCAGATCCCGTGGGTCAGAATCCAGCCTGGAATGGCCAATGTTCGGCCCAGCTCCAAACTGGGAGCTCAGGGGCCCTGCAAGGACACGCTGGGAAAATCTGGGAATTCTTTAACCTGAGGGGGCACAAAGCAGGCGCGGGGGTCACGGTGTGAAGAGGTAGAAGTTTATTGGAATATAAACATTCAGATAACCTGTAAGATAGAAAAAACCCAACAACAACATATACAGACACTTGTTGGAAGGAGACGTTGAGGTATTTATCCACCGCCTAGGCTATCACATTTGTTTTTATTTACTTTTATTATTTTTTTTTCTCTTTTAAATAGGTAAGAAAACTAGTTAGCAAGGCTGCTGCAGCTGTTTGGAGAGAACATCTATGTGATGCAGGCACACGCAGCCCCTCTCCCCTCATCCCACCCTCCGAGCCTTCCCCGCAGCCCCGGGGCTGCTTTTCCCCCCCTGGAAGCGCCGGGGGAGCGAGCTGGGGGTCTGTGGCTGGTGTGTGGGGCCGAGGGGAGGATGGAGCCATGGCGCCCTCGGGACCGTCCTGCCCGCAGCATCAAACCCTGAGTAGTGCCCGGGGCTGGGGCGGGCCCCGCTCTGCCTCCCCCGGTTTCCAGCACCCCGAACCCCAAACCTGGCAGCTCAGCAGGAGACCCGCAGCTCAAGGCTGCCAGGGCCAAAGCCAGGCTTAAGGAAAGGGTTAACTCTTCACAGTCTGGATGGTCCTTGTCACCCTGGGCTGGGAAAAGGACCGGTTTATTGTTGCAGCTTATTTAACTGAGGTATCTGTTACGCTTCCCGACCTGATTCTTTCCCTGAATTGGATACAAAACAATCTGTTAGTCCCTGGCTAGTTCCAGTCTAGGTTGAGTAAAGCTTATAAACATTAATACTCTAGTAGTGTCCAAGCAGTTCAGTGATTCGAGTGCCTTTCTGTGCAAGAAAACACGACGATAGCAAGTGAGACAAAGCGACCCCACCCCGGAGCAGCCGGGAAAAGCAGAAAGTGCCCCAGTCCCACTCAGAGGAAACAGCCCCCACCCCACCCCCGATAAAATAAAAAAACAAAAGAAAACAACAACAACAAAAAAAGAAAAACAACAAAAGGGAAAAAATCATCTGGTTGAGTCCCAGAGGATGGAAAATCCTCTGGGAGTCTGTGAGGATGAAATGCCACGGGGTGAGCCCGGCTCCCTCTGAAAGCAGCAGGCTGGGACAGCGGGAGCAGCATCCCCCTCAGGACATGGGCATTGCCTCCTCTGATCCCACAGAATCCCCAGCACTGCAGGAAAACCCTGCCAGAGCTCGGGAAAGCGAGGACAAGGCACAGATCCGAGAGCCAGGGTCACTCCTGGCCCGTTTTCCTGCTGTCCTGCCATGCACATGTCCTGGGATGATGCTGGAATTTGGCTCCTGGAGGGTGAGGAAGCCACTGCTCCTCTGCTCAGCCTTGTTTGATCTCCCTGTCTTTGGTGATCCATTTAAAAGTGAACACAAACAGAAGCAAACACAAAGTCAGCAAACCCACCTAATGAAAACCCCCAAGCGAATAGGATATGCCAATACTTCCTGAAGAGGTTACAAAAAAAAAAAAAACCAACCCAACACAAACAAAACCAACCCAACAAGTACATATCTGAGGTATTTCGTCTGCTCAAAAAAACCTGACTTGGGCCTGGAGCACGGGAAGGACGTCACCAGGGCAGGAGGGACGGGAGGGATGTCACCAGGGCAGGGGGGGACAGGGGGACAGCACGAGGCCACCCTGAGCAGCTGATTCGTGGAGCCAGGGAGCTCCAGCTCTGCTTCCAGGGCAAGGAAAGGCTGGATTCTGCTCGGGTACGATTGGGGGGGGTTTGTTCAGAGCCCCAAATCCCCACACAGCTGGATGCCAGCAGCTGGATCCCTCTGTGCTCAGCACACAGCCCTGCAGAGCTGCTGCAGGGAGCCTGCACCAACCCCGGAGCCCCAGCACGCCCAGGCTGCCACTGTCACTCCTCAGGGGACACAGGGACACTCAGGGGCACTCAGGACTCGAGGGGTGAGGTGGCACCAGGCAGGACCGAGCAGCTGATGGTGCCAAAACCATCACACGGGGACACAGCAGAAGGAACACGAGGATATCGCCGTGGGAGGACAGGGCCAGGCGCCCCCCGGCTCTCAGGATTGTCAAAACACGGAGTTGTGGGTGGGAGGAGCCCTGGTGGGCCCCGCTTCCAGCAGGACCAGCGTTCCCAGCCCCACCCCGGCCCTTTCCCTGCCCTGGTGATGTCCTGGCCACGCCCGGAGCCCATCCCTGATTGAGAAACGCTGGCTGTGCCCCCCTCCACCTCCACGGGAACACCACAAACCCCGGGAGGAGGAGGAGGAGGAGGAGGAGGAGGAAACAAAGGGCACGAGGGAGGAAGGAAAGGGGGACAACAAAGCAAAACCAGGCTGGACAAAGAGACGATGAAGGAAAACTCGCTGGCATGGAAAGATTTCACCACCACCACCCCCACCACCATCATCATCATCATCATCATCATCATCCTCCTGCTGCTGCTGCTGGCCAGCCACGAGAGCAGGTTCCTTGAGATGAGGTATGTGTGCACTCCCGGGCCGGGGCGTGCCCGTCACAGGGACCAGCTGGTGGAGGGCTCTGCGCCGGGCGTGCCGCGGGATGAGGTAGGGCTGGGGGAGCAGTGGGAGCTGCTGGAGGAGCTGCTGGAGCTGCTGGAGCTGCTGCTGCTGCACGAGCTCTGCGTGCCCGAGCCGGCCAGGAGCTGCACCACGGGCTTCTGGGCAAACAGCACCCCTGAGGGCACACGGAGGGTCAGGGGGGGCAAGGGATCCCATCCCCACCCCCGGGATCCCATCCCCACCCCGGGATCCCATCCCCACCCCCGGGATCCCATCCCCACCCCGGGATCCCATCCCCACCCCCGGGATCCCATCCCCACCCCGGGATCCCA